CAGATGTTACTTGTCTTTCTCTAATTGGCTTATTTTACTTAGCATAATACTCTCCAGTCCATCTATGCAGTTGCAAAGGGTAAAAATTTTTTTTCTTTTACAGCCAAGTAGTATTCCATTGTGTAAATGTGCCAGCTTTTGTATCCACTCATGTACTGATGGGCACTTGGACTGCTTTCAAATCTTGACTATAAACATAGGGGTGAATATATTCCTTCAAATTAGTGTTTTGGGTTTCTTCAGGTATATTCCCAGAATAAGGCAGTTCCATTTTTAACTTTTTGAGCTAACTCCATATTGCTTTCCACAGTGGCTGCACCCATCTGCCTTCCCAATAGTGCATGAGTGTTCCCCTTTCTCCACATTCTCGCCAACACTTGTTTGTTGGCATTTTTTTTTTTTTTTTTCCATTTTGGAGATTGACTATCATTTTGTACTCACCTAGAAAGTGCTGACCTAAAGGGTTATAATAGGAACATATGGGTAAAGTGGCAATGCGTAAGAGAGAGTTTTTTCCACTGGGTTTTCTCTTTGTAATTGAAGAACCACTCTCAGAAGAAGAGAGATTAGCACTACCTCCATAAACTAAATGCATACACAATTGTATTCATGTGGTCATTTTTTCACATCTGCATGATGACTCTAATTCTACATGGGTAGTAAAATGCCTCCTTCAATGTCCTTAATTTCAGGATGCAAATTCTTAAATCCAGGCTTTAAATTTAAATTCTCACTTTCTAGTTTGGAACTATCTCCTTCACAAATTATGGGAGAAAAGGACAGGACTAGATTTTCCAGAAGTAGAGAACCCGAACTGGCATTCTTCCTTTTTTTCAATCCTCACCAAGGATATGTTTTACTGATTTCAGAGAGAGGGCAAGCAGGGGAAGTGCAAGTTGGGGGAGGGGGGGAGGGAGGGAGGGAGAGAGAGAGAGAGAGAGACAGACAGACAGACATTGGTCAACTACCTCCTGTATGTGCACCTACTGAAAATTGAATCACTAACCAAGATATGTGCCCTAACCAGAAACTGAAACCGCAACCTTCCTGTGTATGGAATGACACCCTGAGCCACACCAACCAACTAGTCAACCAGTCAGGCCATAACTGACATTCCTGAAAAGCCTTACAAGCATTAGTAGACACCTGTTCAGAACAAATTTGAGGCTTGGGATTCTAGGGATGGCAACCCAGCTGAGACTACTTCCATCCAGGAAGTGAGATGTGGTGAGAATGAGCAGACAACAGAGAGAGAAGACCTGGTTTGAACCTAGACTCCCCTACTTACCAGTAGTATAACGCTCTGCATGGCACTTTATATATCTTGGCCTCCATTCATAAATATGCAAACCACAAACAATACTTAAACAAATGTGCAAAACTTGACTTAGTTATTAGGCTCAAAGGAATCAATTTATTAACAAGCCTGAAGTAAACTAGTGAGCCTTTCACTTATAAATATATCAAAATAGACAACTAGACTAAGTCCATTTTCTTGTCAGTCCTAATAAGGAGATTGGCATGTAAGGGGATTGGCTTTCTAATGATTAGGTCACCTCCTTTCCTCCAGTTGGGCTGGTAATCAGTTTTTTAGGTTAACCTCTGCTTGGTATACCTTCCTCTTACTTTCAAAAGCCCAGCATATGCTGAAACCGGTTTGGCTCAGTGGATAGAGCATCGGCCTGCGAACTGAAAGGTCCAGGTTCGATTCTGGACAAGGGCATGTACCTTGGTTGCGGGCACATCCTCAGTAAGGGGTATGCAAGAGGCAGTTGATCGATGATTTTCTTTCATCAATGTTTCTAACTCTCTATCCCTCTCTCTTCCTCTCTGTAAAAAATAAAATATATTTTTAACAAAGGCCCAGCATATTCACTGGACTTTCAAAACAGAATGATGATTCCTGGGGAAGAGCAGATGTGAAGTACCTGTTTTAATGCAAAAGCTTTATTTATTTATTTATTTATTTATTAAAATATACTTTATTGACTTTTTTTACAGAGAGGAAAGGAGAGGGATAGAGAGTTAGAAACACCGATGAGAGAGAAATATAGATCAGCTGCCTCCTGCACATCCCCTACTGGGGATGTGCCCTCAACCAAGGTACATGCTCTTGACCGGAATCAAACCTGGGACCTTTCAGTCCGCAGGCTCTATCCACTAAGCCAAAAAGGTTTTGGCAAAAGCTTTATTTTTTTTTTTAATATATTTTTATAGATTTCACAGAGAAAGGGAAAGGGGGAGAGAGATAGAAACATCAATGATGAGAGAGAACCATTGACTGCCAACTGCACGCCTCCTACTGGGGATCAAGCCTGCAAGCCCGAATGCAAAGGCTTTAAAAACCAAAACAAATAAACCAATAATAATAATAAAAAAATCATAGCAAAGCTTAAGTTGGTTACACCTACATCTCCACAAAGGCTCAGCTGCCTTAGTCTGAGCTGCCTCAACAAAGGGTCAGCTTCTATTCCAATTCCCTTAATTTCTTTCTTAATGTAAATGTTTTCTTAAATTAATTTTTAATGGAGATGTAATTGACATATAACTGTATTAGTTTTAGATGTACAATGTGCTTTATATTTTTTTCAATCCTCCTTAATTTCAGATGAGAAAATATGAACGTAGGCAGCCGAAAGGGGGTATGTTAGAAAAACCTGGGCTTTGAACCTGATAAGGAAGTTCAATGCTGCACCTGCCAAGGTTACTAGCTGGTATGGCCTCAGGACAAAGGACTCCAACTGGCAAATCCCCGCCTTTCTCCACTCCACAGGGATGGTGCCCATGCCTGGTTCTCGGGTGAGGCCAGGACTCACTGAGATCACCTGATTAGGCCACCCGGCTCAAATTAGGGGCTCCATAAATGTCAGCTTCCCTTCTTGTACAGGACCTTAGATTTTATTTTATTTATTTTGTAATTTTTAAAAAATATATATTTTATTGATTTTTCCACAGAGAGGAAGGGAGAAGGATAGAGAGTTAGAAACACAGATGAGAGAGAAACATTGATCAGCTGCCTCTTGCACACCCCCTACTGGGGATGTGCCTGCAACCAGGGTACATGCCCTTTACTAGAATCGAACCTGGGATCTTTCAGTCCGCAGGCCAACGCTCTATCCACTGAGCTAAACCAGTCAGGGCAGGACCTTAGATTTTAAATTAAAAGCTGCATATTTCTGAAGTAGCAAAGTATATATTTAATTTTTGGAGAAAATGGGGTCCGGCACTCCAAGAGCAAGTACACCGAAAGGATGCAGGTGCCATTTCCTGTCAGGTCACATACCTAGACTTCAGGTTCTATCCCCAGTCAAGATGCATGCAGGAGGCAACCGATCGATGTTTCTCTCTCACATCAAGGTTGCTCTCTCTCTTTCTCTCCCTCCCTCTCTCTCTAAAAACACACACACAGATCCTCAGGTGAGAATTAAAAGAACAAAAACAAGCTGGAAGAAGAGCTTCTGGCGATCAGCACTCGGGCTGGTGCTTACACCATCAGCAGGGAAGGGAGGGAAGGCCCTGTCCCCTCGTAGCCTGTCTCTGTGGGCTGGCTGGGTGGTGATGCCTGCCACATACCTCAGGGCTGACATCAGCGCCTGCCTGGCTCTCCCCGTGGGCCGCCTCAGAGGAAGCTTTTTATGTCGGTTCTGGGTCCTTATTATGCTATTACGCCTGAGCTGGTTCCCCCCCCCCCCCCCCCCCAGAAGCAGGGTCCGGTGGGACGGGAGGAAGAGGTGGTCTGTGTGGCTATTTTGATTCTCCTTGAAGCCTTTTCTGATTCTGAGACACACCAGGGCACAATCCTCCCATCCTCTCTGTCTTCAGCTCTAACCACGCCTCAGGGACCCAGGCTCCACCCACAGAAAAACAAACAAGGCTTTGATTCTGTTGTGAGAAAATCAAAGAACTGCTGAAACTCGAGAAAAGAGAGAGAGAGAGAGAGAGAGAGAGAGAGAGAGAGAGAGAGAGAGAAAGAGAGAAAGAGAGAGAGAGAACTACTCCTTACCATATACTGTGTACTACTTTCCACAAACAGCCCCCATCAGAAAGAAGAGACTTGTGTTAAGCTTTATGAGCTGCCTGGAAGAGTCTGAGAGCTATTTTGGCTGCCCAGTGAATGGGGTTTCTGAAATTAGTCTTTGAGACTCAACCTTCTAAAAAAAAAAAAAAAAAAAAAAAAAAAAGCCTTCAACACTCACCCTGGAAAAAAAGACTGCCTGCCAAGTTCAAATTTTCCTTGGCCAAAGGAGCACCAATTTAGCCCTTCAATGAGGTTATAAAGAAAGTATTTCCCCTTGACTTCGGAGAAAACACCTTTCATGTGACCTCCAGACTGTTACTTATTTTTTTAAAGGAACACAAAATAAACTATTCCCCCGCCCACACCCCCCTTCTGCCCTGCCTCCCCTCGCCTTACTCCAAAACAGTGCTTGTCACTGAATTCTGTAAGATCAGAAGCCAGCGGGCTGGTTACCCTTTGGGGACCAGGGTGACACGGGGGAAAGTCTTCTGGATGCTGGTCAAGTTCTACTTGCCGAGCCGGCTGCACCCTGTCATCTCCGCGCTTTTCTGAACGTAAGCGACACCTCAGTAAAAAGTCCTTTCCAAGCAAAGCAAACCCGAACAAACGCCCACTGCTCCCGCCCCTGCAGACAGCAAACACAACTTTCTGTGCGTGCACAGCCTGCAGAGAGCCCCTCAGAAAACCCTCAGCAGTCCTGTCACACTCACTGCACAAAGTCAGCTCAGAGAGCAAACTCGATCCCTGGGCAGAACCATTCTGCAGTTCCCACCAGCGGCTCCCACTTTCCCAGCCTGGCTGGTAGCAGCCCCGTGAAGTCTGCTTTCAGGAGCTAAGTTTGCACTCAAATCGGGGGGCGGGCGAGGCAGAGCATGCTGATGTTTTGAATTCCCAGAGAAGTCTTCCTTCACAGGATGCACGGCCCTACGAGGTTACTGTACCAGAGGTGTGCCTAATCCATAAAGGCAAAGTGGGTGCTTACCTATTTGGTCTTCGGGGATCAGAGACTCAATGGGGGGGTCCAGCTCCGAGCTCTGCGACAGGTAGTTCTTCACCTGGGTCATGAACTGCCGGATGGTCTGCAGCAGGTCCGTGCTGGACACATGGCACTCCTTGTTCTCCTGCAGGAAGCTCACGTAGTCCTGCACCAGGCAGCCGAAGTAGGTGCACTTGTCCCGGGACAGCTCGGAGATCCGGCGGACCATGCGCTTCTCCGGGGTCATGAAGGAGCTGAACACGCCGCTCATCTTGCGGAGCTGGGACTTGAAGAGCTTGGGCAGCACGAAGGAGCTGTTCCTCTTCTTTTTGGACTTGATGGGGGGGGCCATGGTCTCCTGATCGCTCTCCTCCTCGTAGTCCTCCTCCAGGCTGCTGTTGGTGTCTGCCTCGTAGCCAAACAGGGGCATGCTGCGGTCGAACTCGAGCGAGTCGGAGGAGGAAGTGGAAATGCTCATGTCGCTGAGCCTCTGTCTGCCTCCTCCATGCCACGGGGGGCGTGATTCAGAGCAGGCGGGCTGGGCCCTTGTGCAATCCCCCGGGGCCTCGGCAGGCGGGGCGCCACCTGGGCTGCCAGCTGCGCGGGGCTCCGGCTCCTCCTGCGGCTGCAGCAGCTCCCGATCCCCGTCCCCGTCGCCCTCGGGCTGGCTGCCGGTCAAGGTCTTTGCGCCGCCTCCTCCCGCCTGCAGAAAAGAAGCCTGCTTCTTCAGCCGGGGTGGAGGGATGGGGGTTGGTTTCGTTCCAAGCAGAGCTACGTTCCCATGTTTGTGATGGTTGACTGTTTCTGGCATGCTCGCCCGGGTTTCGGTCCCGGACAGCTGAGGGCTTGTGTGCAGACTATTAATAGCGGGCGGCGGGGGCCTGGGTGGGGGGGACCGAGGCCTCTCGGGGGTGCCATTCGCGTTGGGAGTCCTGGTGCAGGGCCGCTTCGGGCCTCCGCCGAGGTCCTGGCTGTGCACTTTCAAGAAAAGGGGATTAATGAAACACAGGGCTCCGTTGGTCTGGCTGCACTCCAGCTCCGAAGGCGTCCTGGTTTTGATAGAATGCACTCCATTTATAAGGCAGAGCTGGCGGGAGGCAGGGCAAACGCCTTCAGTGGAGGGAGGCCTATGGGGAGGTGGAGGGTTTGGGGGTTTGTTGTCAGCTGGAGAGCTCCAGAAATCTGAAAGTCATTATCAGTGAACACAAGAATGTAAATACAGTACACTGGGGTCATTCCTTCACAAATAAAACAAAGCAGCACATTTTCAGACAGTTGAAGGGGAAAGAGACACTTCGTTTGTTTTTTTGTTTGTTTTGTTCCTGTTTTGTGTGCTTTACCTGCATTCCCTTACTGGGAGGGTAGAAATGCTTCCGGCCCAGCTTTGGGCTCAGGCAGGCCTCAGGGGTTTTCACCTTCAAAGCCCTTGAGACATGATTTGGCCAACCTACAAAGCCAGCCCAGCCTTCTCACAGGTGAGGAGAAAAGAATCCGATCTACAGTGTTTGTTTTTTACAGTAGAAGCTTGGAAAAGGCCATATGGGGCTCCCCGACTTTACAAAAAACCAAGCCACAGCACCCTCCCCAGCCACCCCCTTCTCCTGGGATGCCCTCCACCGAGGACGGGCACTTCCCCTTTAATGGCAGGAGCGGCAGCTGGGCCTGAGGGATGTTACACAACCCGCTTAGGGTTTTACGTGTTCAGCATTAAAACCCCAAAAGGAAGAAAAATATACTCATGGGTCCCATCAGCAAAAAAAAAAAACAAAAACGAGGACAGCAAACTTATGCAAATATTAAGTCCAAGCTCAACTGTGTATCTTTGTGGTTTGCTGCCCATCCGCCCCAAATCTTATAACCTCCTCAACCAGAGCTATACATATTCAACAGGCTTTGGAGCAGGGCACGTCGCCTATTGCAGTAACACTGCCCGAGTCCCCTTTTCCAGATGGGTCTCAGTTTTCCATACCACTCCAGGAAGGAGGCAGTGCTGTCTGTTGTAATTTCCCTCTGGAGTAGGCCATTCTCTCTCTCTAGCTCTGCTTTGCTGTGCTTGCTTAAAATGTGTTTCTTTCTTGTGGGCCCAGAATGGCTGGTCATGGGGAGCGGGGAGAGACTGCTATTGGGAGCACCTGCCCTGCCTCGTCTGTGACGGAAACGCGCCCGACATGGGGGCTTGTGTCACCTGCTTTCTCGTATCCTTCCTTCCCTTCCCTCTGGTTCCGAACTGTCCAACACGACAGCCACCAGTTATCTATTGAAACCCAGCTCCTGCCACAGAGAAACTCAGCTTTCACTTTTATTTAATGTTACTTAAAGCTCAATTCAGTTCCTGGAAAACTGTTAAGCAGGCTTAGAAATTGGGTATGTGAATCTATTTTTTCCACCACAAACGTAATGAAATCTAAACACACATCATGCATTTCTGTTGACAACTTAGTGCCTAAACAGAAATATGTTGTAAGGAGAAAATACATACTTAGCCTGAGAAGAAGGATGTCAAATGTTCCACGAATGCTTTAATATTGACTATATGCTGAAATAACATTCCCAGGTATCTTTCATCAAATAAATTATAAAAATCAATTTCGCCTATGCCCTTTACATTTTCTTTAATGCGGCTCCTAGGAAATTAAAAATTACACACTGGCTGGCCTCCTATGTGTTTCTATTGGCTGGTGTGGGTCTCGGTGGTACTGCTCCGACAGCCAGCCAGGGCCAACACAAGCCATGTTTGCCTTTTTCTTTGCAGGGCACTGCTCCTGTCCCTGACGCTTCAGTCCTTCTGCGTCAGCACAAAGCATACAGTGCACGCAGAGCCCTGAGCCAGGAGCTATGGGGACAGACACCACAAGAGAAAACTGAGCCCTAATGATGGATGTCTTCCAGGGGCCTATTGTCTAGCTGGTGATAGTAACTTAGATTTAGGAACTGTTTCAAACAAACTCTAAAGGTGTGTAAAACTCAGTTTGCAGGAGATGGCATAGCTTTTCCACGGGGACATTTAGACAGCCCTGGTACTGTTAGAAGGATTCTCTTTTCCAATCCTACTACCCAACTGCCCAGGGCCAGGCTTCGGACACGCAGGGCAATCCTTTCGGAGCGATCCGGGTGGCAGAACAGAATCTGAATCTACCTCCGGGCTTCTCTTCTAATGATGCAGGCTCCCTCGGCAGTGACATCGGCTTCAAAACAAGTTTATATTAATAGAAAAATATGCCAAGGGGCCAGCACATCTATTTTTATTTACTGGGCCACATATAGTGTTTTAGGCCTTCGGAACCCCAGCGCCTGCCCTTCCGAGTTGCAAGCTTCCATTCAAAGACTACGGCCCGGTTGTTTATCGGCAGACGGAAGCCCTCCAGTTTTAAGAGAATTTTCCCTTCTCATCTAGGAGGGAAAAGGTTTTGTAAAAGTTAAACCCACATGAAATCCCCAGGACAGTGGGACAAAGAAGTGAAACTGGGTGAACGGTATGTCTGGACCTGCTGTCAACCCCCGTCCAGCAGCGTGGTGTTGGGTTAACAGGCATCCAAGAGGCCGGAGGAGGAGCAAGTGCCGGCCAGAGCAAGGATGCCTGGCGGCGTAAGGGACGTGGCCCAGAACACCAGGACCGGAACCGAACAAGAGAGGAAGCGCGACGGATGTCACTCCAGACGCCTGTGCTGCTAGGAGTGCCGTTGATGCCTGTGGTTCCTCTAGCATCAAACCGGTTTCCCTTTCTGTCAGGCACTGCCTTTCCCCAGAGAGATGCCCCAGAGAGGAGGGAGATGACACCCTGCAGAAGTGTGCATTACATTAGGACATTTAGGGGCCATGGAGGTTGTTGTTACCCAGATAAACTCAGCTCGGGCCTTGGCGGATTGGTGCAACCTCTGACTTAGGAAAAGACTCTCCTAAGAGGTGATTCAGCAACCTTTTGGACCTGAAATATTGGGGTGGAGATCGGGATTACTCTTTGATGTATATTCAGCTCCATGGAGTTATTTTCAAGAGACCTGGGCAGGGGCCCCCACTTACTTAGTCCCAGCTGGGCTAGTTCTTCAAGCTGAGCCTCCGTCTTGGCCGTGGAGATGGCATAAGGCAACTTCAAGGTGAACGGCAGAACGTCCCTAATTTTTCAGGAAAGAGAGTATTTGTAATTGCATGTCATGTTCCTATCTCTTACTTTTATTTCCATCCTAGACATATTTTAGCTTAAGCTATTTTAAGTGTCCTAAGTAGACATCAAATCATGCCTAGCCAGAAAACTTCTGCCTGTGCTAACACCCTCAAGGACCAGAATTCCTTCCTGGTTAGTTACAATGTACCTAGGGCTAATATCGGAACTGTTGAATACGTCGGTGGATCTATCATAGACATAAAACATTAATACTAATTTACTAGATGCTTGAATGTCGGATCCCAAATACCAGGGCAGGAATGTGCAATTTGAAACCAACATTTATTGTCCCATTGCTTTGCATGTGGCAGATTCTCAATGAATATTGACATAAAAGTTCTTCTGTGTTTTAGGGGAGTACACATGAACCCAGTGTATAAGGGGTAGGGCCATACTCTAAGCATTGGCGTGTTCTTCACAGGGTTCAGCACCATGCCTCACCTACAACAGACAGGGAGAAAGTGTGTTTTGAATAACTGAATGGATGAATGTTTAATACAATGGTGTTATTTATTTTTTTTAGTGGTGACATTGGTTTTATAATGAATTCATTAATTCAACACATGTTTATAGTCTTCTATGATGTGCCAGACCCTGTTCCAGGTGGTGGGGGGAAAAAAAAAAAAAGACAAAAGTCTCCACCTGCATGGAGCTTCATGTAAGTGGACACCAACAGGCAATAAACCACCATGCAATTGATAGAATCCACGAGAAGGGGATGTGTGCCCTAGATAAAAATAAAGAGCAAAAGGGGCATAAGGAAGAGTATTCATGTGTGAGAGCTGCCAGGGACGGCCCCAGGAGCAGACAGCATTTGGTTGAAGATCTAGAAGGTGGCCAGGGAGTAGTAAACGTGATGAAAAGAACTTTCCAGGCAGAGGGAGCAGCAGGTGCACAGGCTCTAGGGATGTGGCCTGTGTGAAGAACAGCCCGGGGCCATCATGGCTGAGGGGGGGGGACAACACTTGGAGCTTCTGCTTGTGTGTTGTCTATACAGGATGCCCTGAAAATTCCCACTGAAGAGAATAACTACACCAAAAAACGTGTTGTTTACTATAAGATGAGGCAACATTCTTGGCTGCGTCGGATTAAATCCGGAGGACTGAGAATTTTGGAACCCTTGAAGCTGCTGACAATGAATAACACATTAGAAAGGTCAATGAAAAGAACCAAACGTAAATAAATGTCTAGTGTCACGAGGGTTGTAACACACTGCTAGTAAAAATGCTAGGCATCAGGGGCAGGCTAGAAGGGGTCGATGGGGGAAAAGGGAACATATGTAATACTTTCAACAATAAAGATCTTTTTTTTAATGCTACAAGTTGGCAGTCAGGAGGCTCCTGTTTCCTGGGGTGTCTAGCCCGGGTCACCTCCTGCTTCCAGAAGACCCTTTCACCTGCCCCCCACTGTTGTGAGGACCTCCTTCTACTGGTCACATTGCATCTGTTCTAGAGGAAGCAGGTGGAGCCTCAGGGGATGGCAGCATCTGTAACTGCTGCTGCCTGACCCCGGGAGACACAATGACCCTGATTATAATCTTACATGAAGATCAGTGGGAACCAGGACTTTGTAATGCCTAGGTGCCATGGGAATATATGTTTTTATAGCCGTACCAACTTAATATCTGCTTTCATTAGGCAATTTGGGGGAGAAAAACCACATACAACAGCATCAACCTACTTTTATTTTACGCTTTTACCTTGCCCAATGCAGGACCTCAAGCTTAAATATCACATGACTGTTTTGTTTTTTTCTTAATGACACAGATGACAGGAAACAACACCTGCCATTTGCTAATGGGTGGTTTTAGGCTTTGATCTACTAGAAAATTAGATGTTGTACATGAGTCCTCTCCCACTGTGCCAGCCAGCGCCCAGCACAGCATCTCCTCCAAGCACATAACACATGCTCACGGGTTCTCTCTCTCTCTCTCTCTCTCTCTCTCTCTCTCTCTCTCTCACACACACACACACACACACACACACACACACACACACACAGGGGCACTTCCTTCTCATCTACACACTGTTAAGTAAAGGGGCCCTGGTTCTAAAACTTGCATAAAAGACAAAATAAAGCCATCTTAGGTATAAACATTTCACCCAAGGCTTTCTTTTCATCTTAACTTTGCTCTATACATGTCATATTTCTAAAGGGGAAACAACTAACTTCACTGACCACCTACTTTTGCATTGACCCGAGCACCTTACCTCTGTGGGGCCCACACACACCCTGGGAGGAAAGTTACATGTCCCTCGTCCCATAGGTCAGGAGCACAGGATAACGTAGATGAACAGGCCCCTACACCCACTCACAGAGCTGATGTGGGATGAAGAGTTGGAGCCCAAGTCTGTGGATCTGGGCTGGTTAGTGCGAAAATATGGGCTTTGGTATCAAGGCAGGACTGAGTTCAAATCCATTATTTGCTCCTGGTTAACTGAATGTGGTTACAATGAGGATTAGAGCTAATGCTGGAATGGTATCTTGCATAGATACAGAAAGCCCCTGAAATGACAATGATACTTAACAATTAATCATGATAATTATTTCCTCTACCCCCTTGCTACTCAAAGTGCAGGCTCGGACCAGCAGCGTGGGCCTCATCCCCTGGGCGCTTGTTGGAAATGAACTCCCAGGCGCAGCCGCAGACCCCCACAGTCGGAGGCTACACTCTTAACAAGATTCCTGTTGGTTCTGGCACAAGTTTGCCAGGCAGTGCTCTACACTACACTGATGACACTAACCCGCAGAGAGCCACGAGGCTCCGCTGGCCACGCTCTGCACTGCTATTTGTATTCTCAGCCACGCTTTTCCAGGTGCCCTCCCGGGGAGGCAAATCACATGCTTACTGATCCGTGAATTCTCTCATCTAGTGTATTACATGCATATATGCTCTGTTTGAATGCCAGACCTGACAGTCCAGCCACCATCTCTACCTGAATATATTCAGGTACTAACAACCAACTACGGCATTGCAAAAGTATGTTGGTAAGACTGGATCAAATCAATGAGGAAAACAGATGTAAGTAAATGAGTAACGCGATGAAAAGGAGAAACAAAAACATCAAGAACCTTTGCATCTTGAAATGAATAAGGAAGTGAATCGCAGGTCTCCCTCGTCACAAAATGTCAACGCTGGGATGTTTCTCTAAGCACCTTATACTATTAATTCCCATCATGCCTTGTAGTTTAGAAAATGCTTTCGTGTTCTCCTTCAATCATGGAACAGGCCTGGACAGCAGGCATTCCAGTCTATTGTGAACACTGAGGGGAGAGATGGTATCTTTCGTGAGTAGCTGCCCAATGCTGGTGTATAGGTGTAACAATCTTTCACAACAAAGCAGTCACCAACAAGCAAACTATGAAGATTAGCGACTGGCCAATTTCACCTGAGCCTGTTAGTGTTGACAATCACTCCCAGGGCCCGGTCCGCCTCCAGCCTGACCAGGTGTGGTCCCCTGGGGACGGCGGAGGCTCCTGCCCACGCCTTGGCAGGTTTTGTCCCCTGGGGGACCCTCACAGGGCTCGGGTCCAATTCTAGGTGAAGCCCCTGCATCTCCCTGCAGCATAGAGTACCCCTCCAAAACCGTCTCCCATCCTCAGGCTATCGGTTGTGTGGCTTCCCCTGGCCTGGTGACCTCCAGGAGCAAAGAGCTTAGTACCTGCCCCTGATAGGCCGAGTCCTGTGGTCGGCAAACTGCAGCTTACGAGCCCCATGCGGCTCTTTGGCCCCTTGAGTGTGGCTCTTCCACAAAATACCACAGCCTGGGTGAGTCTATTTTTTGAAGAAGTGGCGTTAGAAGAAGTTTAAGTTTTAAAAAGTTGGCTCTCAAAAGAAATTTCAATCTGTTGATATTTGGCTCTGTTGACTAATGAATTTGCTGACCACTGGCCTAAGTCCAACAGGTACTTAGTCTCTGACCCTTAAATTTAGCCTGACCCTTAAATTCACACAAAATAAGCCAGTCCCAGGTAAGCTTCTTGGCCTCAGAGAGGCTGCGAGAAGTGATCTTTGAAAACAACCATGAGTAAGCAGTGCATGCCTGTCACCACTCTTCCAGCTGCAACAGACACAGGAGAGCACAGGAGGCCAGGTGAGCTCAGAGGGGCACTGGTCCCATCAGATAAAGAGGAGGGTGCTGTGTATCGCTGGAAAAGCACTTGGTCTGAAAAGCTGGTATGGCTAGAAAGTGAAAAAGAGAAGGTCTTACACAACTCCCACCCTCCTGACGCTTGTTAACGTTGTGGTGTTTGGCTTAACGTCACATTGACTGAGACCGGTCGCTTTAATGAGGAAAAGGACGTGAGTACCCAGTGGCCCTGAAGGATGGTGACTGCACCGTGTGCAGGCTGGTGTAAGGAACCCACGCTTTTATTTTATTTATTTATTTTTAAAATACATTTTATTGAGAGGAAGGGAGAGAGAGAGAGAGAGAGCTAGAAACGTCGATGAGAGAGGAACATCGACCAGCTGCCTCTTGCACACCCCCTACCGGGGATGTGCCTGCAACCAACGTACATGTACATGCCCCTGACCAAAATCAAACCTGGGACCTTTCAGTCCGCAGACCGATGCTCTACCACTGAGCCAAACCGGTTTTGGCAGGAACCCATGCTTTTAGAATGAACTGCATCCTTGAAGAGTTTTCAGAAAAGTTATCAAGGACCTTTCAATGTGACTGGTCCCTTTCTCTCTGTGTGTGCATGTTTGTGTATGTGTGCATGTGTGGGTATATTAAGGTGACCAGATGTCCCACTTTTGGCGGGACAGTCCAGATTTTTAACAATTTATCCCTCGGCGTTAAAACAGATTTTAATTAAAATTGGGACTGTTTTTTTTTTTTTTTTTTTAAATATATTTTATTTGATTTTGTACAGAGAGGAAGGGAGAGAGATAAAGAGTTAGGAACATCGATGAGAGAGAGTCATCGACCAGCTGCCTCTTGCATACCCCCTACTGGGGATATGCCCGCAACCAAGGTACATGCCCTTGACCGGAATCGAACCCGGGTCCTCCAGTCCCCAAGCTGATGCTCTATCCATTGAGCCAAACTGGTTTCGGCAAAAATTGGGACTGTTTTTAAAATGCCTCGGGACGCAGGACAAATTGCTAAACATTGGGACTGTCCTGCCAAAAGCGGAACGTCTGGTCATATGCATGAGTATGTTTCACCTGCTTGGTGGGTCTCCGTAAAAGGAGCCATGGGAGCAGCTTGGGAACATAATCATACTAATGAGTGAAATTTCACATCTGGGGGGGATGTGGGGGGCAGAGCCATGATCTGGGTCTTAGGCCTGGCACCGTGGGCTTGGTGACCATTTTATTCCAGTGGATATATCCTTCCAGGGACATCGAATAGGTGTAAGCCTGACAGATCCCTCGGGCCAATTCTGTTGCATACCCAGCAGGTGTTGGAGATGATAAGCGAAGAGGCCTTACCTGCTGATGCAGTAGAAAGCAATGAGCCGGAATAAATCCGCAAAGCTGATTCCTGAGCCTTCCAGGGAAAAGGCTGGAAAAGAGAGATTTGGGAAACCGGCTGAGTGTTCCTGAGCATGTTCTGGGAAAGAGAGGCCGCCCCTGCACTACTGCCTGCTGCGTGTACGGGACCATCCCAGCGCCCGGCGCTCTCAGACAACTACTGTGCGTTTATCAGAAGCAGCTGTGAGGAGGGTGCACGCCAGCCGGAAACAGGCCAGGGCGGAGTGGATGGCCTGGAGATGCAGCCCCTGACTCACTCAGAGCCACAGGCTCCAATCCTGGTAAACAGACCAGCACACGCTCCAATTGCACAACTCTCTCTCTCTCTCTCTCTCTCTCTCTCTCTCCCTCCCTCCCTCCCTCCCTCCCTCCCTCTTAAAATTCAGAATACAAAGTTGGGCAGGGACAAGGAGCCTGTTTGGCTGGAGAGAAAGGCCTTCAGCATGTGACAGGGCGTGGGGAATACCATGGTCCTCATTGCCCTTGACCCTCTGAGGTAGACTTCCTGGGTTACATTCCTCTTTGCCTAAACAGGCTAGCTCTGGTAAAGACGCAAGGCAGAGGGAGCACAAAGCTTGGAGACAACACAAGATGTCCAGGAGTCAGCTTTTGTTTGAATTCAGTGTGAAAAATTCTAAAACCCACTTACACAGAGTGCCCCCTCCCACCACCGCCACCACCAAGTGCACAAGATTCCTAACGGAAAAGAGATGTCTGGCAAGATAGGGGGCCATCTGTACGTCTTCTGGGTGATGGGACAGCCTGTGGGTGGACTTCAAATGTTCATGTGTTTGCCAACCACGCCTCACACCATGTTGGCTGAGGTACCACTCATGCAGTCATTCTTCCCAAAACATTCCAGACATCCTTAGCTTTGGGAAGATCTCTCATTTTCTCAATCAAATGAGGTTTTCTTCCATTTTAAAAAAATATATATTTTATTGATTTTTTTAGAGAGGAAGGGAGAGGGAGAGTTAGAAACATCGACCAGCTGCCTCCTGCACACACCCTACAGGGGATGTGCCTGCAACCAAGGCACATGCCCTTGACCAGAATCAAACCTAGGACCCTTCAGTCCCCAGGCCAATGCTCTATCCAGTGAGCTAAACCAGCTAGGGCAAGGTTTCCTTCCTTTTATAACACTCCATATCCTCATTTGTTTTGCCTATGATTTGCTTGTGTTGTGTTATTTTGCTTAGTATTTCTGTGGCAGCCAAAACACACCAAATATATCACAACAGAGACCCACAGAAACACACACTGTCACCACAGCTTAGTGAGTTAAATAAGAGGGGGCCATTGGGGGAGGTTAACATCTCTGAGCCTTGGTTTTCTCATCTATGAAATGGACAACAGTGTGGAGAGCAGCAACAGCGTTTGGACAGGTCCAAGCCTCAGACTAATGGGAGGGCACAGTCCTCTCATTGCCACGTGCAAGTCCCAGCTTGGAGGGCAGAGCCCTCCCAGCACAATTATAGCCAACAGCTATAGTTGTAAGCTTGAACCTATGGTCCGAACACGTGGCCCCACGTGTCTGAGTAATGTGGGCCTGATAGAGTTCAGGTGCATGTAATTGAGTAGATTGGAACATTGTAAACATCTTGACCACGCTCTTACTTTGCCTCGGGGAATATGGCTATAAAATAAAGACTCAGCTTACAAGCTGTGTCGCTAGCTCTCCATCAGAGAGGACAGCGTCCCACCGAGAATCCAGCTTTCATTCTCTTGTCTATCTTTTCTTAATCCTTCACCACCCCCTCTCAGGCTCACCAAACCTGGCTCGGCACACAACAGTAATACTTTCATTGTCTCCCAGAAGGGCAGTAGTGGGAACTGAAATTTTAAAAAATGGAGTAATCTATGTGAAAACAATCTATACAAAAATAAGGTGGTATTTATTATTAAACCACATCTTCTAAATGTTACCAAACCCCCCCCCCAAAAAAAAAACAGGCACCTGTTTTTATAACAAGTCCTTCCTCTTCCAATCCACCTCAATTCGAAGAGAAAATAGGACATGGGAGGGGCCAACACGGTGGGACCAAGGCCTGTGTTCACTAGTTACGGCTGCCTTAGTGCTTTGTGCATAAATAGCTCTTTCAACCACTAAAGGTCCCCTTGAAAGGAATAAGGAAGTGACAGAGGTCTTGACAAAAGAGGGAAACTTTTAGCTGGGAGGGACTTCAGATGAACATCAAGAAAGTCACTAAAGGGGTATCCAGACTAACTTATCATGGTTAATATTAGAAGATACTTAAAAACAAGTTCTTGGCTGGCAGACGTCCAAAAGCCAATTCAGCATTGCCTTGTTCACCTAGTGTTTAATTCATTAACTTTAAAATGGGAGGCTTGAAATCTATGCTCTGATTACCTCCTCATGTAAATAAACTATTAATCCTTCACAGGGTTTAATGAGTACTCCTGTGCCTGCACGTGGACGTTCTTCCCTGGCACCAATGACCTTGTGAGCCCTGGAGGAAAAACATCGCAGGGCCTTGCTGAACTTGAGGCCGGTCACACAGAGGTTGGGAAGTTTCGTTTCTGCTGCCAATGTCTCCTCCAGACCCAGGTAAAGGCCATTTGGCTTAGTGAGACGATGGAGGCCGGTCTGAGGAGAATCCCAGACCTGCCCTTACATGGACCGTGGTACCTTCTGGTTCTTCCGATGCAGAGACTGGGGTCCAAACAGCGAAGTGAGAACCCTGGTCTCAGCCTCGCTATTGGAACAGTCCATGGGCCTCCCCACGTGCTTCTCCTGCCTCCATGCTTCAGCCTGCTGACCTGCAATGTCAACGAAGCCCTTCCCTTTGGGGTGCAGACCTCTCTTCTGCTCCTTCTTGGAGGCTGGCAGCACCTGGGAACTCTGTCCCCTTTCAAATTTGAAACTTGACCCCCAGATACTTCACATTTTCAGGGACCGTGGGAGACATACCAATGCTACTGCACGCTACTTTTCCCTCAAAACTTAGTACTTTTTCCTAAGGGATGGATCCTGCCTCTGATTTGCTGCGTTTCACAAAAAAGTGAACAGCAATCGCCTGGAGGAAAATATCTGCTCAAGGATTATTCACGGAGATGTGCAGAAACATGTTTCAGTGTTTGATCCTATAAAAAGATGGCCTGCCCAGAAGCTTAGTCATCAACAAACCTGGGCACCAAACCCATCCTGTGCGTAACCGGGAAGCAGGTGAGGAAGCCAAACTCTACTGAGCCTCTGCCATATGCCGAGCAGCAGGCTGCTCACTTTGCACATAGGTTGTTTAACTGAACTGTTAACTTTCTGAAGTTACCACCGCCCACTCTACAGATAAGAAAACTGAGGTTCCTGGGGCACGTTACCCACCCAGTCATTCAGTGAACCAACGGCAATGGCAGGACTCAGACCCATGACTGCCTGTCTGAAAGCACAGCCTCTTTCCCCATGCCTGAGACCCTCATGCCAACCAGGGCCCAACCACCCAGTGACCACTTACTGTATGTGCTTTCCTTTATGGCAAATTCCTTGAGTGGAGTTCCAAATTCACAGGGCAGGCGAAGGGAGAGGACCTTCTTCTGCATTTTGGTGGATTTACGAACCAGGAAAATCTAGGAGGGGAAAAAAATTCAAGCTTAGGAAACATCTAGAAGGTTGGAACCTGGGCATATGATTTTTCATACCTCCAACACCCACAAATTGAGCCCCCCGTTATAGCTTAACTGCAAGGCTTAATGCAGGACACTCTGCTCCCTAAGAAAGGTGGGATCAGCAGCAAGCATGCCATAGTCTATGAAGCATCTACATACCGTATTATCAGGCGTATAAGACGACCCCCTAATTTTACAGTTAAAACATAGGTTTGGGCCTATATTCGTCGTATAAGACTACCCCCCACTTCAAAGAAAAGACTTACTTTGCCGTCAAGATCTGCAGGTAATTTTTGTGCAATTTTGGTCTTTTGCCCCCGATTTCCGGTTGACTTTTTTTCGTTTCAAAGGTCATCTTATACGCCGGAAAATACGTATACTAATAAAGGGGTAATATGCTAATCAGACTGGGAGACCTTCTGGACATCCTTCCAGACAAAGCCATGGTGGTGGGGCTGAGGCAGAGGCAGTTAGGGGAGATCAGGCCAGTAGGGGAGAGTAGTTGGGGGTGATGAGGCTGGCAGGGGGGGCAGTTGGGGACGAGAAGGCCAGCAAGGGGGGGGGCAGTTGGGAGCAAGCAGTCCAGCAGACAGAGTGGTTGGGGTGATCAGGCAGGCAGGCAGGTGAGCGGTTAGGAGCTAGCAGTCCTGTACTGCGAGAGGGATCCCAGATTGGAGAGGGTGCAGGCCGGGGTGAGGGACAACTCTCCCTGCTCCCCCCCCCCCCCACGCTAGCCCCCATGCACAAATTTCATGCACTAGTTCCTTGATAACTGATTTCCATGAATTCCTTAACAGCTAACTTCCACAGAATTCCACTTTCCCTTCAACAGAACCCTCCCCAAGAGGTAAGAGCTCCCTCAGTCTGCCGAGCATTTTCAGTTTGGTGACTGTTTACGGGTAATGCAGTCTCTGGCTTGGTCATATATGGGTATCTTGGTTGATGAAACCTAGATTCTAAATACAGGCAACAGGGCAACAGTACAAGTGATGAGAGTTCACTGACTAATGTGGCTCACGGGTATATTTGTGATAGAGATTTGAATTTGTTGTCAACAATGAAAAGACAGGAGTTGTTTTTTTGTGTGTGTGTTCTGTTTTTTTGTTTTTCACATTAAAATCTGAATTTCTACCTTCTCTTGGAAAATGGGAATACAAGGCAAGACCAGGCATGGCAACAATCCACTGGACCCCAACCATGACGGCTCCATTGGAAGACGGGTAGGTGTGCTCTGAAGTTCATCACGGCCAACACCACAGCTTACGGTCCATTGACTCCTGACTCACTTCACTTTCCATCGCTCCCTCCAAGTCCTGATGGCCTCAGGCACATGCTTTAACCCGTACTGATGTCTCAGAACACCTTTCTGGCCTCCGTCACTGCAGCGGCAAGCATGCCATCTACTCCTTTTCAGGCTGTGCTCTGCATAATTCAAAACCGAGAGGACGGGGGCACCACTGCCCAGACTAAAAATAAAAGGGTGCTCCGTGGAGTGTGCACTGGTGGCCTGGCGGAGCCTGATTCTCTTCTACAGCACATGCCCCTTCTCCAGGGGTCCCCTACTGATGTTTCCTAACCCCTTCCCTGCTTCCTCTGCATGTGATCACTGTGCTCTCCGTTCCCCTACTGTCTTTATATTTTCCACATAATCTTCACTGCAGTCTGTATGTCCAGTCAATAGCTCCTAAGAATCATTTTTGGGGGTGGGTGGGTGGGGTTGAAGGGGATGTTATGGGAATGGGGTGTTTGATAAGGAGTCAAATAGTTCTCTCTTTCCTTCTACGCTCACGAGGAGGTAGCCATGGAATTTGCCTAGAAGCCAGTTCTAGGAGTCCAGGTCTTTAGGACACTCTAAAATCGAAGCAGATGTTCCCTAAATACTGTGAGAGGCAGCCGTTGGTGAGTGGAAAGGAAGTCATAGACCCTTAGGCAGGTGGGGATCTCTGGGAGCCTTGGAGGCAGGGAGAGCACAACCTCTAGGCCCATTTCCTGAGTCTCTGTGACCTGAGATCAGGGCTCAGTGAAGTCTGGCCAGCAGACCAAATGGATTTAAATATTTGCTCCAGTCATTTCAATACTGTCTACGGCTGCGTTGCACCACGGCGGACTTGAGTGGTTGTGACAAGAGACTGGATGGCCCACAAAGCCCAAAATACGTACACTCTGGCCCTTTACAGAAACAGTCTGCAGCTGCCCGTCTTCAACTGAACATTAGTGAAGGATGGTGGGCATCCCAAAGACCCATGCCACCACGGTTAGCCTTTTCAAACCTCCCTCTCGCACCTGCTTCCCCTGCTCTTCAGCATTCTAGCTTCTTCCAGCGCATCTGGCCTCTTCTGATGCATGTTGCGCCTGTCCTCAGCCTGCCCTCAGCCTACCCATCTCACCAGGCGGGCCCTGGCCGGGGACCAAGTAGGTGGCTAGAGTCAACATCCTGCCTGACTTGTTCCCCACCAGGTCTCAGCAGGAATGGACGTGCCTGACACCAGAAGGGGAATTGCTACCTAGCAACAGGGCCACCGCCTTCTTCAGACATTTTGGCAGACACGCAGGAGCAGACAACACAGCCTCCCACACGTGGGGGCCTCACAGAAGGGGGCTCTGATCACACAGACCAAAACCAGAGGCAGCAACCCAGGGCGCCGGCCAAGGAACTCTCTGTGAAGATGATCAAATGCCGCGCCTGACATCCTGAGCGCGTTCCAACAGAGTTCTTAGTCCTGTCTGCCTTCTGTCAGATGAGAAACAAAGACTCGCTTATAAATCAAAAAGTGGTAACAGAGAGGTTCTGGCTGAAAGGAAACACAGAAGATTATTTTCCTGCCCAATTGTTACAACGTCCCTCAGTTACTGACGGAATTTTATCTTGGTCTTTCCACCTACTTCTGAATGTCTCGCTCTTGCCAGGTGTGGTTTCAAGTCTTATTTTATTTAGTGTGGTCATTCTTGCCTTTAGAAGTAGGCATTGCATACAAGCACTGTCCAGCAGAACTTTTTGTGATGATGGAAATGTTCTATATTCTGCACCATTCTAGATAGTAGCCTCCTGTGGCTAGTGAGCACTTCAAGTGTGGCTAGTAAACAGAGGAACTGAGTTTGTGGGTTTTTTTTGTTTGTTTGTTTAATATATTTCATTGATTTTTTACAGAGAGGAAGGGAGAAGGATAGAGAGCCAGAAACATCAATGAGAGAGAAACATCTACCAGCTGCCTCCTGCACCCTCCCCCCCCCCCCACACACACACACCGGGGATGTGCCTGCAACCAATGTACATGCCCTTGACTGGAATCGAACCTGGGACCTTTCAGTCTGCAGACTGACACTCTATCCACTGAGCCAAACCCGTTTAGGCAGAACTGAATTTTTAATTGAATTTCATTTAATAAATATAAACTTAAATAGCCACATGAGGCAAGTGGCTACCACACTAGACAGCAAACACTATGCCAATCACTGAATAAACTATTTTTTAAGGAAGTTCTATAGAGTTATGGCCTGGTCTTGATTAAGATGAGTCGAGACTTGAGTAGGGAATAGGTGAACAAGCTGAACTGGACCTAGATTCATGTGTAAAGCCACTGAGAAAGCCCATGAAAACTCACCATCATCAGCCAGAGCAGACAAGTCTATGGACAATGAACTTTTGAAGGTTAGGTCCCAAGGGAGATAGATGGTTGGGCCTTAGGCAGGGTTCCCAGACTCAAAATGAATTAAAACAACAGGGACAACTACCCCTCCTCTTTCTTTCCAACCAGGCTCTTCCTAAATGTCTGGTCTCAAGAAGTCAGGCCCAGGGCCTCTGAGTAGCAGCCCCTCCTCATGACTGAGGTGCCCCGCTGTCCTGCCGAGTCCTGCCCTTCCAGGGGGTAACTGAGCAGATGGAGAGAGAAAGACACATTGTGAAGGGCTCTGGAAGCTGCCACCGAAATCTCCCTGCATTGCAACCCAGGTACACACCAGGAACCATATTCCCTACAGGCTGCAAAGAACTTTCTAGAACTCCAAGTCTTTTTGTCTTTAAGGATGTGGCAGCGCTGTCTGCCTCAACCTGTCTCCTTGAGGCTCTGAGTCTTACCCCCGGGGGCTGGGACTGTAGGACTCCTGCCGCCTCCTCCTCACTCAGATTCAGCTGCAGCCATATGGAGTGGGTGTGGAGAAGCCGGTCCAAAATGCTGAGCCTGCTGGAGAGGCTGTCATAGCCAGAGTCCCGGGGACAGGTCTTCACTTCCTTCTCCTGGGGACAGCCGTCATCCTTGTGTCTCACCATGCTAGGAGAGAGAGAGTCGGCAGGGGTCAAATGGCTGCGGCACAACTCCCCTGACACAGACACGGTTCTGCAACCTCAGAGGCGAGGCTGGCATAGCACATACTCCATCTTGTCACCACCACCTGCTTGTCTTCCCCCACAGAGCGGAAGCCTGAGGGCAAACACCAGGTTATATTTCACTCTGTTACCCGATATTAAATGGCATACTCAACAACACTCAACGGACCTTCTATTTCTTTTTTTTTTCTTTTCTTTTTTATATATATATATTATTGATTTTGTACAGAGAGAAAGAGAGAGAGATAGAGAGTTAGAAACATTGATGAGAAAGAGTCATCGATCAGCTGCCTCCTGCACACCCCCCACTGAAGATATGCCCACAACCAAGGTACATGCCCTTGACTGGAATCAAACCCGGGACCCTTCAGTCCCCAAGCCAACGCTCTATCCATTGAGACAAACCGGTTTCGGCCGGACCTTCTATTTCTAACCCAGTTTTGTAAAGGTTCTAAACATCCTAAATGCTGTTTAGTCTATCTTCTGGCATAAAGCATTTCTTCCTTTGGGCACAGACACCCTAAGTACTAAGCAAAAATAAACCATTCACATGAATGCACACTCATTTTTTATCCAAATGAATTACATTTCATTTCTTTTTAAACAGGTAGGAATTTTATTACTAATCTCTCTATATAAAAGCCTAGTATGCAAATAGACCAATAGTGGAAAACCTAACAACCAACCAACCAATCGCTATGATATGTGCTAACCACCAGGAGACATGTGTGAAACTTGGCAGGTGTTGGCAGCAGGCAGCAGAGTGCAGAACATGGCAGGCATCAGCCACAATGGGATGGTGGAGCAGGTGAGTGGGGGCTCCAGTTGCTGTCATCTGGTGGCTACTGAAAATTATTTGCTCCTGTGAGCTGTAGTCCACCCTGTGCTTGCACCTGCTGCTGGCACCCAGCACCAGCCCTAATCATAGGAGCCGTCAGCAGATGCAAGTGGTGGCTGCCAGACCTGATTGCCCCTCAGGCTTCTCCACCTCCTCCTGCTCCTGAGGGGTGACCAGGGCCAGCAGCTGCCTCTCGCACCCACTGCCAGTACTAGCCCCGCTTGCACCTACAGCTGGTGCCAGCCCCAATAGCTCTGTGCTGTCAGCAGTGCGAGTGGGGCGGGCGCTGTCAGTGTGCGGGAGTGACAGTGGTAGAGGGAACCGGCCTGCCTTCAGACAGGAGACCAGGGCCACAGCAGGAGGGGCCGGGTGAGGGCACAGAGGATGGAGCAAGACTTGCCCCTGTGCCTATAGCAGTCTTGCAGCCCACAGTTCCTTTCAAAGTGCACAAATTTGTGTACTGGGGCCCTAGTGTTATTTATAATGAAACCTTACAGTGGTATGTTGCTATGCTATTCATAAAATTATATTGACATTATTCATAATCACCATAAAGTGGAAATAGCCCAAATTTCTATCAGGTAATGAATAAATAAATAAAATGTGGTATAGTAGTAGCCATACTTTTTTTTCAGCATAATATTCATTCATCCTTTTATGAATAAAGTACTGATCCATGCTACAACATGAATGATCTTGAAGACACCATGCTGAATGAAAAACTCCAGACACAAAGGCCTAAAATTCAATGTTTCCAAGTATATAAAATATCTAGATAAACAAATATATACTAACAGAAAGACTAGTGGTTGCCCAGGACTGGGAAGAGGTGCAGGATGGTAGTGATTACAAATGAGTATGGAGTTTCCTTTTGATGAAATGAAAGTGTTCTGGAATGAGATGTGTGAATATACTGAAAACCACTGAATCCTTCACATTAAATTTTGAATTGTATATTATACGAGTGAAAGCTCAATTAAAAAATCACAATGACTTCCATGGCTGCCTTTGGCCCCAACATTAATCCTATTATTGAGCACTTGGTCCCCATTTTACAAATGAGGAAACTGAGGCCCAAGAAGTTATCAAGCTGCCCTGAGTTATAAACAGCCATGAGACGGCAGAACTAGAAATTCAACTGGTCTGTTCACCCAGCTCTGCAGTAACGAGTAAGATCATGAACACAGGATAGCTTGTACCTATGTGGTATCTACCCCTGACCAGGACCTTTGCAAACATTTTTTCATTCACTCTTCTCAACAACCCTGAAAGGAGGATTCTAAGATCCCAATTTAAAAAGAGAGGACTGGGAAGCTCAGACTGATTGAGTGACTTGCTCAAGGCCAGGGCTCTGCTAAGAGAGAGAAGGTGGAAATTCCAAGCCAAGTCTGGTCAGCTCGGGGGTGGGGGTGGGAGTGTCTCTTCCCCTCCCCCACACTCAGAACTCTCCCTTTCCCGGCTCTCAATGAGCTGGTCATCAGCTCCTGTCCTGGAGCAGGCAGCAGGAACATCAGACCTGACCCTTCATGTCTGAAGGGCCAAGATCAGGTTGGAGTACACAAAGACTTGAAATGTCTAACCCTACCTCCCACCCCAAGTGTGTAGCCTGGGTGAAGACCTCAACACTAAAAAAGATGAGTGATGGTCTCAAATGTAAGGGAGCCTGCGGGTAAGAGGAGTGCTATTTCCAGGTGGACCTCTCCCCTCCGAGGAAGGTAGACTGAATGCGGACGAAGCCCATCCAAGGTGATCATTTTGGGGTCTCCTATAAGTAGCAACCCATAGTGGATTGCCTGTGGGCTGGCCAGAAACCCCATCCAAACTTCTCCCCTACACCTTCTTGACTTTCTACATCTCTAAAGACTCATGTCAAGAGTTCTATTTAGCTTTCTCTCAAATACGTGAACCTTTACCTCTACTCCATGTTTCCAGATGGGAGAACCTGACAAGAAAGGACCATTTCTCACCGTGCATATGACATTCCAGGGCCTCTGGGTGTATTGAAGTGAATCCTCGCTGCTAATAAGAACAAACTCTTCAAAATGAATCTGGTGTGAAAATTCCTTTCCCATAAGGTAAGAGGAGACGTTAGACCAGCAGTTCTCTCAACCCTGGCTGCCTATTATTAAAATCGCCTGGGGAGCTTAAAACAATTTTGATGGCCAGACTTCACCCAGATCAAATAAATCAGACACATCGTGTAGGGTGCAAGCATCAGAATTTTTTCAAGTTCCCCAGACAACCCTGACATGCAGCCAAGTTTACAACCACTGCTTTGGACTAGCTCTTGAACCTACATTAGCATCACCTGGGGTTTGTGAAACCACAGATTCCTGGTTTCAATCCTGCAGGGTTGGGTGGGCCTGGGACTCTGCATTTCCACCAAGACCTGGGTGACGTTGCCAGCCTGAGGAGCACTTGCATGAGACCTAAATGCAAAATGTTCACTGGAACTCAGATCCAATTAGGTGTTGTTGTTTTTAAAATATATTTTATTGATTTTTTTACAGAGAGGAAGGGAGAAGGATAGAGTTAGAAACATCAATGAGAGAGAGAAATATCCATCAGCTGCCTCCTGCACAACCCCTACTGGGGATGTGCTTGCAACCAAGGTACATGCCCTTGACCGGAATTGAACCCAGGACCTTTCAGTCCGCAGGCCGACACTCTATCCACTGAGCCAAACAGGTTAGGGCACATTAGGGGTGTGTGTGTGTGTGTGTGTGTGTGTGTGTGTGTGTGTGTGTGTTGGGGGAGGGGGGCGGCGCAGTAACATGACACAGAAAGAACTCACAACCCAATTAAAATAACATTTTATGCTGTCTGGAGTTGGCGATATTTTACCAAGACCAAATTCTGCAATCTCTAAACAGCAACCCTGACACTCAGGTGCGCTGAGAGTAAACATGTTGACAGCCTTCCTTCCTTCGGAGGATACATCCCTTGACACCTCAGTTGTTTCAAGAAGCTAAAAACTCTGTACAACTGACCTCAGCCTAAAAAGCTGGGGCCTCCACGGGGAGCTGGTAAATAAGATTCATGGGGCCTCATAAAGGAGCAACCATAAATTAGGCCTCGTCTTTGCCAATGACTAAGCCAACGCCTTTACTCAGCTAGCTATTCTTTGATGTTTATGGCCTCTTATTACAGAACAAATTGGCTTTTATCAGCCAGCCTAAAGGACAACCTCCAGGAAAGAGCTAATGAAGGAAATGCTGAAGGAAATGCTGTAGTGAATGCTGATGGTGCCCTGCCCAGCCCCCCTGTATCAGATCGAGCACCCATGCCCTGCTGCCCCTTTTTCTTGAACATTCCTGGGAAATTACCCTCTTCCAGGGAGCGGGGGCACTGCTAATGACTCAGGGTGTAGAGGAGTGATCTTCTCGCCTACGGGGAGGACAACTCTGGGTGCTATTCACGCTTCAGAGCTCCCTGTGCAAAGGCTGAGGCTAGACTCGAGCGGGCCCCAGTTCTCTGCCTGGTTTCCTCCCGTTCCGCCCTGTATCCCTCAGCCCTGCACACACCGCTCCTGAGCCCCCCTCAGTAGATCACCGCCCAGGAATCCCTCCCCACCTCAGGCGCTGTGTTTAGGGAACTCCACCTAACACAGAAGCTGAGGAGATTAATAGAAAGTTATAATCCCAATGCAGCTTCTCAAGACCAGGTACCCAGGAAGCTCCCTTGCCCCTCTCAGTCCACCACCCGCTCTCCCCAGGCTCCATCCCAGACAACACAGCAGGGGTAGCCTTTGATTCTTCCGCCCAGTGTGGTTTTTCAAATGAATGACAATTGTCAAACACATAAAACTTTGACATCAGGTTGTTTCTGTGGAAAAAACACTGATGTAATAAATAGTCAACATATTTCCTATGTAAGAATATCACATGTAGATAATATGTATAAGAATATAAAAATCCTCTCTTGGTGAATAGCCAAAATAAAGCTTAAGAGAACTAAATGCCAAGTCCTTACTATCAACAAGGCTGGTATACGTCCATGTATAGGTCTCAGCACTGACACAGGCTCTTGATGGCTCTGTGCTCAACCTTAGGCACCCAGACCTCCATGTGAGTGAAAAACACACCTTTCTTTAGCTGAACAATTAT